GAGTCTCATTAAGTGTCCAGTTTAAGGGTATTACACAGAAACATACCAAGGGAACATGAATCAAATATGTATCTTTATTCATTTACAATAAACTCAAAAACCCCGACTAGCATTGGGATAGGGAACGACCAACATAACCACCCCTTTAACTTTGTTGATTCAAAAGGACAGTGCAGCCTGCCAATACTTAGGTAAACAAGAGACCACCCCATTTCAACTTAGCTTGGGTGATCGGAACGACCAATTGGGATAGACGATGAGCTCTAAGCTCAAGATAAGGCCTTAACCAAGGTTAAGCATGAAGGAACAACACTAAGGCCAACCTACCTAGGGCATATTGATATACCAACACTTTGACAATAACAGTAACCTCACACAACTCAACAATGTTAATGAGTTGACTCACTCAATTGACCTATCCTATGGCCAATCTATTTGCCTACTCGTATTGGAACTCCTCAACCTCAAAAAGAAGAAAAGAAACAAAACAAGGGTCACCCTGAGCACAAAAAGTATTCCATTTCAATTGTTCGCATTACAAAATATGGGTTCGAAGACTTGAGGTGTTACACTTCAAAGTACAACAAAAACAAAAAGGGGAACTCTTCAATTGTCGATTGAGGGGGCACGTCCTCATCTATGACTTCGATGTTCTCGTCCTCGCCACCAGTGGCCTCGACAACGTCCATAGCAACAACTTCTTCCAACAAGCACAGATCAACCTCGGGGACGATTGTGGCAACCTTGTTAGGAAACATTGTGAAACCATCTAGGAAAGACGAAATTTCGTAATCATTTAAATCTTCTTGATGCTCACTAACCTTTATAAACTTGAATTGCGAGCCTACGAGCCTCAGATTCTACAACTCGTTGATTAATCTACCTTTAGAGACGCCAGCTCACCTTTAACAGTCAAGATCTCTTCCTTATGCCTCGCCTTCAGGCTTTAGCCCCTTGATCTTGGCCCATAGAGTCTTGCACTTCTTGCACATCTCGGTGTACTGGCAAGACACCACCCTTAGCCTATCACAAAAAGCATTGACGACACAAACCCCCTACAAGGAGAAAGACTTAGTGCATTGACTAAGGGGACAATACAAACAGAAAAGCTAAAGAATATTGACCTCCATCACCTTGCTATAAGTGTTGCTCTCCAAGACCTTGGTGGCTTGCTCGAAGGCCTCAAATTGGTCTACCGAAAGGCAATCTCCCCATGCCAGCTCTACGACAATGCAACCCTCTTGTACTATGTTATCCACTGTCACTAGCCAATTGGGGATAAGAACTCTTCGCTTCAAAGTCTCACATGCGGAGTCGCCTCTTGAGTCTTGCCTGATGGGGTGACCACAAACCACATCGGCCTACTCGTTTGACACAATCACCTCTTCCGTAGGTTGCTTTGACAGTTAAGGCATCGGACTTGCTCCTTCAACCCTTCCAAACTACTGCTAAGGATTGAGGTAAGGGCAACCAACAAATCAACATGTTTTTTTAATTGAATTGTAACAAATGCAACATGTTCATATGGACCATCTTGTCTTTTACACCAAAAAAATGCAAACCGAGGCCAGTCAAAGATGAGTTAAAAAGTTATCTAGTATGACTGAGAAGAGCCAACTACCTAGACGAGTTGGGCTCAACCCCACACTCACCAGCATGTCCTCGATCAGATATTGCTTGACCTAAGCCTTTAGAGATGTTACCTTCGCCGCCGCCGCTTTCTTGTCGAAAGAAGGGCTCAGTGATTGGTCTTGCAAGGGTAGGGTTTCCCACTTAGTCTTGCAAGGCCATTCTTGCTCATAGGAGACAAAGAAGAATCTCTTCTTCCAATCATAAATGAAAGAAGGAACCTCTGAAGAGAACCTTTCTACAGAGTCGAGCAGAGAAGTACCACCAGCCATTGTTTATTAAATGGAGCTTCAAAGCAAAAACAGCTTACAACAAGGTTCAAATAAAATGTTGTCGTGGTAAGCCATAGAGTAACTTGATAAGAAACCTATAAGAACTTCAATTATCAAAAAAAAAAGAGAGAGAAACCTATAAGAACTTGGGATGAGTTGCATTGGGGCTAGATCGTAGTAAGATAGAATCTTGTCGATCAATGGATGAATCGAGTACCTAAGTCCTAGTTGGAGGCTATCCTCATACACACAAAATCCTCCCTCCCTTGTGGAATAAGCTCTCTCATCCGGCTTGAGCACCCTAAGCGTAAACTCCTTGGGGATGTGATACAAGCTTTGAAGTCTTAAGAGGTCGTCAAAAGGCAAAGAAGACCTAACATCACTAGCACCAATTAGAATAGGCTCTTCACAGCACCTAGAGGTCAAAATCCCAAACCTCAACCTCGACTTAGAACTACTAGGGCTACTGCTAACACTACCAAGGTCGAGGAGAAAGCTTAGCCTTGAGTTGCACTTAGAGGAGGAATACATTACAACCAAACAGAGAGAAAAGGAGGAAAGGACTAATTAAACTAAAGGGATCAAAGAACTTAGAAAATTTGAGACTGAAGTGCACATAGAAGGAGAGAGCAAATGATAGGAGACCAAGTCTTCTATGCCTTCCCTTTTATAGAACAACCAACAACTAAGATCGAATGGGTATGGATAACTTTGATCACAACACTTTGTTTCTCTTGCTTCGGTACTGCCACATGTCACACACCAAGTAGGCTCCTCTAATAATGCCTCAGAAGATGAAACAACACGAATTACAGGGCCTTTCCTGCTTAGAGGCCTTTTAGAAGATTTAAGGCATTTAAGGTGAAAAAATTGCCCCATGTAGGTACAACCAACCCACCATCTCAAGCAACCAAGCTATACAAACACTCGTTCTTGCAAACAGTCCCAACTAACCAAGCACAAATGAGCCATGCATTCATCCTAACTTGTAGAGCTGAGGATGACCTAGTGCCACCCTCAACCAAGCTAACCAGACAATCACCTCGTCAACTCGCGAAGACTACCTCACCAAGCATGAAGTCGACCTACCGGGAAGTGAACTTGATGGGAAAAGCAATTGGACCGACTTGAGTTGGAAAGGTGATGTACTAACACCACCAAACACGAGGCAAAACTGATCTACCAACCCAGAGGGATAGAGGGCAAAGTTGGTACTTCCTTCAAACTAGCTAGTTACATTGTCACATCGTCCTTGGAGGTGGGGGCATGTAATACAACCAAAACCAGCCATCATTTGAAAGATGCCACTTGGCACCAAATTGGGGGTAAAATAGGAATTTTACCAAGCTACTAACCATGATGAGCTACCAATAATGGCTACATGTCAATGGTAGGCCAACAACCACGCAATAGCCATGTAGTGTGGAGAGTAAAGGCAATTGTTACAGGCAAGAATCTCGAACCAACTAGAGCGACCATAGCTCCCACAAATGTGACGCCCACTATATAAATCAATGTTTTTGGACCATTGTTGGCCCGGATGGTCAAACCGTTCGGCCCGGAAACTGTCTAAGCAACCGGTTCCATTTCACCCTTAACCCATTCCTGGGCCAAAAACCATTGATTTGGTCAGAGAACTATTGACCTGAGCAGTTGAACCGTCAACTTGTTTAACCCAAACAGTAGTTCGCAGTTTAACAAGGAAGCAGAGGAGATTGAGATATGAGGGCCTAAGACAAGAATGATCTCAAATCTGAGATCATCTTAGAGAGAAAGAGAGAGAGAGAGAGAGAAATCATATCTCAAATCTGAGATCAGAGAGAGATTTGATGTTGTGTTTCTGTTGCTGCCATCGTCGCCATTGTCATTGCCGGTGAACATCATATGCTCCTCCTCCTCTTCCTTCTTCACTCCTTCCTTCCTTTTCTTTCTTTCTTTCTTTCCTTCTTTTCTTTCTTTTTTTCTTTCTTTCTTTCTTTCTTAGCCAAATACCAACAACCACGTATGTCTCTCTTTTCTCATAATAAAAGACTAAAAGGGCAATGGATATTTGCCCTAATATTCAAATCTAATAAAACTGCCTGAACCGTTCGAACTGTTGACCCAGAAACCGGTGGCCACAGGCCTACAGCGGTTCCATTTCCAGTTGGTTTTTAAAACCTTATATAAATAGTGCGCCCTTCCAGGGTATGGGGGCTCTCTTTCCTCTCATTCTGTACTTTCACTATTCTACACACACCTTGGCACTCCTCATAAGCCCATGGGGTCGCTAATGCTTCTTCGTGATTCCAGATCACCAAAGTCCAAGAAGCATTCCTGATCTCTCCTCATTGCAAAACCGACAAGCAACAATAGATTGCTAAGTGATCCCAATTGAAACCAAACAGATGGATTACTTTTCCCTTAGGCTGTGTTTGGTTGCAGTGCAGTTTTATCTGTACTAGTACAAATGCATGGGAGTGCGAATGTAAAAAATGCACATTCTTGTTTAATTTTGTTTTGGATTTTACTTTATTCTGCTTCATGTCTTAATTTTACTTCATTTATACTGCAATCAAACAAAATAAGCTAAAATTTGAAACAAAAATAAGTCAGAATTTACACTCAAATCATTTGCACTGTCATTGTTTTGCATCAGTGCAAATTTATTTGCATTGCAACCAAACACAGCCTTAAGAAATAATTCCTACATTTTATCGGATATTAATAGAAGTGTTAGATCAAATGCATCTAAGTCATGGTTTATTCTCAAAATCAAATGTAGACATCCAAGAGCAAGAAAATAACAAAAAAATTGGCAATTATGCCTGCAGTGAACACCATAACACTACATCCTTCAGTTTACCCGACGGACAATAAATAGTTTCATCACTATAATAAACAACACATAACTACCAAACTCACCTGGCTCAAAGAGATCGAAGGTACCGAAGTGCAGGCGTTGTCGGGCAGAAGAGACAACGTTGGCGCCAAACTAGAATTGAGCCCCTGAGAAGAGATATTGAGCTGTTCGTAGAGGGTCATCTTTCTCCTCCTCGGAGGTTCCCTCAGCCCTCCTTTCTCTGTATCATTGACATGGAGCCTAGGAAACAAGGGGCCCATGATCTTCTCTTCGTCTCCCACCCTTTTCATCTTCCTTGAACCTCCAATCCTTCAATTCAAAACCCACTTAAGAGACCAAATTTCTGGATCAAAAAGACGATGATATCCCATGTACCAAACTAAGAAGCTAAATCCAAAAATCTCGCAGACCCAGATGGCAAAATCGAGTCTCTTATCTGGAGAACCCAATATCAACCCGCCTGAAGAAAACTTATCTTCTCTTTGAAAAACGAAGATAAACAACTAGAACCCATTGAGTTAGGCATCTCTTCCAAACGGTAAATATCTAGACAAAGAGGAAACCAGAGAAAAGAGGGTTCAGAAAGAAAGATTCGAGAAATGAAGAGGGTTGAATAGGAATGCTATAGAGGATCTTCATCTACAAATGGGGAAAGGAAACAGTGCTGGGTTTGTGGTGTCTAAAAATGGAAAGAAATAGTTTGTATAATTGTATGGGGTAATGAGGGCTCAATGACCGAAGTGCGTATGTGCATGCCAAATATTAGTGCATTTGGAAATTGTATGTAAATATTGTGGGGGAAAAGTGAAGCGTTAATTGGAAAAATGGAGACAAGCTTTCAGGCCTCGATAGGGCTTCGGCTTTCCAAACGGAAAGAAGAGAAGTTTAGGGCTCAACTTCCTGGCTCCTGCATATACAGACCATATTTGGAGTCCGGCTTTTATCTGGGCAGTTCTGGTGCGCGCACCGTTCGTGCACGTGAGGACGCGCCACGCGTTCTTGAAACGTGTGTACGCTTTAAACGTGCGAAGTGCTTAAACGGAACCGCGAGTTCCTCATTCCCGAATCCCACTCCTCTCGATTTCACATCTGCGCCCCACAACGTCTCACAACACATATATGCTATGGGGTACAGATATAAACTCTTCCTCTCTCGCCAAATTACTCTCACTCTCTCTCCACACTGAACCGAACCCACTCTTTTCACTCTCACCCTCTCGGTGGCGACAAACAGTTTATCAACGGAGAAAAACTTCAGTTATTCGTTCTTTTTATTTTTTATTCCCCAAACATTGATCCTAACCAGTTTGCATTTTCACCCATGATCGTGCTGACCTTCTGAATAGAGTCGACGCTGGTTCGACAAATTGGACAAATGGGTGTCTTCAACACCATGAATTCACACAATTAGCATGGAAGCTGTGCCTGCAAGGAAGTAGTCTACACTTGTCTCCCGCCTTGAAGTTCTCCAAGCAAATAACACAGTCTACTGGACAACTGCCCTTCTCTCTTGCTTTGAAATCAAAGCAAGGAAGCCTTTCCAAATCATCAAGCGACATGTTGTTAGTTCCACCATTGTTGGCCCTCTCAACCATGGTGTCCCCAATCAACCCTCTCCTGAAAGCCCTCCCAACAATACAAACATGAATGAAGACCAAAAAAACTAATGCCCACAAATAACAATATTATAGAGAAGACAACTGCCATCACTATAATCTGTGTTGCAATTTCCACAACCTTGTTGGTCATTAAAAATCTCCCTGAACGCTGAAACTTCAGCTTGTCATTCAAACTATCACGTACCTATAAAGCACAAATTCTCGCTCTTCCATTCTTTTTAAGTAATACCCAGTTATACTCATTCCCATTCAATTCTCCTTGGAATACCCTGAACCAATTTTGTGATCCGACCTCACTGAAAAGCGTTAATCATGAAAACAAAACCCATGGCTACACAACTAGTTCTATCTACCTCATCTGAAGCCCATGGAAAAATAACAATCCTCCATCATAGCCCAATTTGTTCCACATACAGCAGAAAATCCATGTTAACAAAACATTCAAGAAAAAAGATAGAATGGAAGCAAAAAATCCAACTTACATACAGATGATCCCTTGAATCTGGAGATAGCAGAGTTCAGGAGAAACCGGCGGAGATTTGCTATTACAGGCGGTGTGGTTTTGTTATCCTGTTATTTTAAGAATGAGAAATTGCTGCCAAGCATCAGTAGCTCACCAACAACATTGAGATGGAATTATGAATATATTTAATGTCTAGTGGGAGGAGGTTTAATCTTTCTGATGGAGTGGGTGGAGAAGGAACCAAAAAGAACAGGTGGAGAGTGAGTATAGTCATGAAGATCGAGAACCGACTCTTTCTTTTAAGTGCATGCAGAGAAGAAAAACAATTGCAGATAGAGGAGTTAATAGTCGCCAGTGATGCCGAGACAATGAATAACACTGCATCCAAACCTGTTAGGGTCAATGTTTGTGGAAGAAAAAAATGAAAAGAACGAATAGCTGAGGCTTTTCTTGGTCGCCGGTGATGGCTGTTGGTCGCCGCCGGTTGGAGAGGGAGAGAGTGAAAGCGAAAAGGGTGGGTTAGGTTCGGTGTAGAGAGAGTGAGAGTGAGATTGTGAGAGAGGAGAGGAATTCGCTAACGATTCCGTTTATCAATACCTGCAGATACTGCAGTTTGTATTTTGAAGGAACGAAAACTGTGTACGATCAAACCTTGCAAGATTTTGTTTTGGTATTCATCCTTGCATGATCAAAGATAAAGCAAAGGTAATACTCTGATGCTAAGCTTATTGTATTCCAAACCCTGCATTCACGAGCTTTATTAAGCAAAGGTAATAATAGAAAGGGTAATTTACTAAAATATTCTTTATATAGTTTTATGGATTTACTAAAATCTACCATATAATTAAAATTAATATTCATTTAAATAAATTTAATTAAAAAAATAAAATAAAATATCATTTTTGCCCTTTATAAGACACACGTAACCAGTTTATTCGCTATATTTGGTTAATTTTGTTTTCTTTACAAAAAAAAATTGTTAAAAATATTTTTGGAATAACAAAAATCATAGGCCTAACGGCAAAACAAACACTACTTAATGAAATGCTGATTAAGTAAATAAGTTGTAAAATATATGTAATGTTTTAATAAAATGAAAACTATATGATAGGTTTAAGTAAATATGTAAAACTATAAGATGTGTTCTAATAAATGACCCTAATAGAATCACATAAGAATATAAAATTGTTTTATATTTTCAACTTTTTAAATAATTAATAATTATTCATATTTTATATACTACTTTTAATAAATKTTTTATAATACAAAAATGATAATAATTAATTTCAGTTAGGTTTATTCATCAAACTGATGAAAACGACCAACCCGATCAACTCGACCCGAGTTGGTCAGTTTTCTAGTATTTTAGGTTGGCTTTGGTTAAAAAATTTCCCAATTTGACAAAGTTTGATCAATTTCGCTTTGACCATTTGTAAACCAACCAAAATCGAATGACCTAACCATGGATATATATTAATATTTTATATTTTAAATATAAATTTTAATATGGAAAAGTGGGAAATTTTCCATATTTTTTAGTCTAAAATGTTTTATATCATAAATCTAATTTTTTAATAATTGCACTATAATTTTTAAAATTAAATTAAATTTTTAAGTTTAAATCTTTTGAACTGACGACCAAACTAAACAATCGATCCAAACTTATACAACTTGAGTAACCAAACTAAACAAAATTAAATTTAATTCACAAAAGGTCAATCGGTTTCAGCTCACCAACTCCCCAACCTAAGCAGGTCAATTTGGTTGGCCAAATAACTTACGACCAAACTGAACCAACTCATGAACACTCATAATTTCAACTAAATTAATAGTCTCATCTTTGATAAATAGCAATAGTTTAATCTCCAATAATTATTAAAAATTTATAGCGAAAATACACAATTGTTGAAAAATATATTGATAATGAAAAAATACAATAATTAAAAAGATAAAAATAAGTACTAAAAATATATTAACTTCGTCAATAAATTGTATAATCTCAAATAATAGTTTAATCTCTAATAAGTATTAATCAATTTAAAATTTTTAATAATAGTAGTTTAATCTCCAATTATTATTGAAAGTTTTATGTTAAATAAAAAAATAAAATAAATTTATACATAATCATTGACAATACATTTATCACAAAAAACAAAAATAATTACTGAAATACAATAAATATTAATTTTAGTATATATAATTATATGATAAATACAGATTAAGAGTTTAAAATTATTATTAATAAATATTAATTTTGTAAAGCTATTTTCTCGAATTATTGCTTGATATAAGTGAAATTAGTTATTTACAATATTATGTAAAAATATTAAATTATTATCCATAAAATTAGTTATTTAAATACTTAAATAATATGTAAAATATTTAAAATATTAATTATTTATTTATTTAAAATATTAAAATATTAATTATTTATTTATTTAAAAATATTAAAATATTAATTATTTATTAAATTGTTAGTACATAATTTCGTGATATATTTTGTAAAAATATATAATTATTTTCTGTATTTTTAATAAATATTTTAAATTTATTATATAATTTTGTTAGGATATTTAAATAATTATTAAATTTTTAATCCAAACTTTCTTTAGATAGATATAGATAAAAATTAGGGGAGATGATAACTAGGAATTAGAGATGATTTAGGAGAGAAACTTTCTACTAAATTAGAGATAATTTTGGAGATAAATAGGAATTAGAGATAATTTTGGAGAAAGTGGGGGAGGTAGTTTAGGAGAAATTTTAAGAAAAGAGATTATTTAGGTTATTGGGAAAGTGCATCTCATTGGTTGTTTTGAAAATGGCATGGAATACAAAAAATAAAAAATTCAAAAAAAGGAGAAAATTTCTTGACTGTTTTGTTTTAATATATATTATTATCATACTTTGCAATTGAGATGAGTTTCAGATCGATCTAGGGGCCATCCCGTACTACACTCATAAAAGAAAGGGAAAATTCCCTACCCTCTACTTTGGGCTTAGTGTCACTTTGGTCCCCAAACTTTAAAATGTGACAATTCAGTACCCAAATTTTCAAAATGTGACAATCCAGTTCCTGCCGTTAACTAGCCGTTAAGTGGCATTTGAAAAAGACACAAATGCTCTTCAAGTGTCATCTAATTTTCTTTATCAACTATCCAAACATTGACAAAAAATTAATAGTCTCAAATCCTTGCCTCTTCTATTCAAAAAAGTTGGGGTCACCAAAATGCCCACTCAAACGTGACCCCAACTTTCTTGAATGGAAAATGCAAGGATTTGGGACTGCTAAATTTTTTTGTTAGTGTTTAGATGGTTGATAAAGAAAATTAAATAACACCTGAAGGGCATTTGTATCTTTTTCAAATGCCACTTAATGGCCGATTAACAGCTAGTTAATAATAAGTACTAGATTGTCATGTTTTAAAAATTTGGGTACTAAATTGTTGCATTTTAAAGTTTGGGGACCAAAGTGGCACTAGGACCAAAGTACAGGGTACTAATTGGGAATTCTCCCTAAAAGAAAAGAAAAACAAAAAAAAATGGACCTTATTTAGTCTACCGCCTCCCAAGACCATAGATAGTTGAGACCAATATTTATAAATGGCCTTTTTTAATCTCATATATTGGCATAATAGTGTAATTTTATTTTTCCATATTGCAAGACAAAATATTTGTGTACATGTAGTATAACTTATAGTAGGGGTGTCAATTAGACCAGATTTGGACCAATCTGATATGGTCCAATATGAGTCCATTGCAAATGGACCAGGCCCATTCCAACCAAATGAATGCTTTGAACTATTTTGGGTCTGTCCAATTCAATGTATGGACCATCCAATATGTTCAAATTGGTTTAATATAGATTTGAGTCATTTGACACCTGTATTCTTATCTTCTATCAATCGATCAGGTATTGGTTCAATCTGACCCAATCCAATATAAATCCATGGATGAATCAAGTCCAGTCTAATCCAATAAATATTTTGGAACGTTATGTTTGGACTGGTCTAATTTAATATGCCTTATTTGTCATCCAATCTGTCCAAATTAATTTTAATTTGAAAGGGATCCAACCCAAAACCGGTACATTGACACCCCCTAAGTATAACTACTCATTGTTCTTGGACATGGTATCATGTATAACAATGTCATCTTGATGATGGGAGCATAACACAGGAATTATACCATTTTTTTTTCTTAAAGCCAACAAGGAAACCATATTCGTTAATGAGGGAACCAAAATGAATACCATTATTGTAGTATTGTACTCAAGTTTGGGATTCGTATGTGTTGCATTCCTTTTCCATATGTTTGATCAATGTACATATTTCAATAACTTTGCAATTGAGTCTTCAGTTTAAGTTTTTCCATCAATTAGAGTTATACGAGGCTGCGTTCTGTGCACCCATGGGTGCATTAGACAAATGCACCCAGACACGTCATCTCATCCGTGTTAACCGTGAATTAACGAAAATTTTCTCCGTTACTAATCGTTTGGCAGGTTTAACCGGCCATTTTTTACTCTCCTCCACCGAACTCAAACATCCATCGGCGACTCAGTGCACACCGACATTGTGAACGTATAAGCCACCGGTAGCAGAAAAAACATCCATTGTCCCCCCCGCCTTGATTAGGTGACAAGAACTCTGATGGCCGCCTCGATCGCTTTCACCATCGCAAAGCTAACAACAAACAAGGGGGAGAATATGATCTCGAAATGAACTCTAGAAAGAAGAAGAAGAAGAAGATGAAGATAAGGGGGGGGGGGAGAGAGAGAGAGAGATGGAATGGGTTGTGCCGAGTTCAGATCGACCACAACGGGAAGCCTGCCGGTGTTGACCCACCTTTGTTTGCATGAAGAAACCCACTTGTGTAAGGCTTTGATCTATTGAAAAGAGAAAACAGAAAGCCCTTGTAATAATAATAATAATAATAATAATAATAATAATAAGAAGAAGAAGAAGAAGAAGAAGAAGAAGAAGAAGAAGAAGAAGAAGAAGAAGAAGAAGAGGAGGAGGCCAAAAAAACGTACAGTTGGAGTTCTCGTCGTTGATGGCCTTTGGTTCGGGTCACCGTTTGCTATTGTATGGTCGCTGGTGTGTGGAGAGAGGTTTTCAAACAACTGAATATTTTTGTTTTTGTTTTTGTTTTTGTTTTTTTTTTTTATTTTTTTTATGGTCGGTTGAACCGGCTATCCATGTTAACGATGCAAAGCCTGTTAACGTTATGAATCTCAATTTTGGACACGTGGCTGATTGTGGTTGGTGGGTTCATGCGTCCAATGAACCCACCGGTGCACAAAACACGGACTCGAGTTACACGGCCTGCCTCAAAGTAGCCTACATATGAAACTACCACTGGAGAGGAAACATGGAGATGTTTTGGAGGTTGTAAGGATTATTTATATAGGGGATGTCAATGGATCGGGTTTGGTATGGGTTTTGCCCAACTCGAACCCAACCCCAAAGCATAATCAACTTGGAGTTCGGATATGCTCCTTACAAGGGGGAATCCAGATCTCCTGTCCACGAGAACTCTGCTCACGTTTATCACGGCCACACATGAAGAACATCTCATCCTCTGCATAGTATTATGCAGGGAGAGATGTTCCCAATTCACAAGGGGGTAGTGTATTGTGGGTAGGCGTGGGCAAAGTTCTTGTGGGCAGGAGATCTAGAGTCACAAGTGGGTGCTTCTCACCATCCTCACAAATGACTGGTTGTGCCATGTGTCCCCGGGTTTGTGTGGGAGCAAAACACAAGCGGATGGGGAACAAACATCCTTTGCAATGATAGTTGTTACTCCCCCAACCAAAGTTTGATGGTTTTGCATTTGGTGCCCAAAACGTTCATCCTTGCGTTTGCCCTCTTCAGGTTAGGATTGAAGCCCTCCCTTTGTCTGTGTAATCACATCTCCGGTGGTCACATGCAAGATGAGACTTTCCTGATTTATAGTTTATTCTCAAAGTCATTTATTTCTTTTTTGGTTTTTCTCAAAGGCACCTATATTTTTTTTCTACATTTTTGATTTTTTTTTTATTTTAAAATTGAACAAAATAACTAAAGTGACCACTTACCTTTAAGAGTTTTAACATTCTTCATTAAAACACCGTTAACTCTCTTTCTCCCTCTCTCTCTTTCCTCTTTCCCATTAACTCTTTTAATAATCTCCCCTCATTAATTATGCCATTAACTCTCTCCTTCAGTAATTCATGCCACTAATGATCTATCATCTCCATTAAACTACAATTATATGTAAAGATTAATTATATCAAAATTGAGATATTTAAGGACATATTATTGCGCTAAATAATATACTTTCATTTCAAATTACAATCCATTTACATTTCATTTGAAAAATAAAACATAATTAATCATAATAAAAAATATTTAGTAAGTTACTTAAATAAAATAAAATCAATTATTAATTATTTTTATTGATAAAATATTTGTATTAATATAATAAAAAGAATTTAATTAATAGAATGAATAAGATAAATTAAAAATAAATATCAATTTAAAGTTAATATAAAGCTAATATCAAATTATCTAAAAATTAATAGTTTTATAATTAATTTTTATTAATTTAAAACCAACTTAAATTCCACTAAAAAAAATAAAATTTTGCATAGTTAATTAAATTTCATAAGAAATTTAAATTTAATAAAAACTTAATATACTTAAATAAATTCAATTTTTACTAATTCCAAAAATCAATAAAAAATGTTAGTTTTAAACATAGTTTAATTATTTTAAAATCAGTTTAAATTTCATTTAAAAATAAGAAAATTTATAAAAACTCATTGAGTTTTCCAACAATCCTATGAAACTCCCTAGTGTTTGGATCTTAACAAAACTCTCCCCTATTGTTTTGAAAAAAATGTGCAAATACCTTCATTTAGTGAGCAATCCAAATAAAAAATGTCGATGTAATGCATTAATTTTACTTCACTTTAGCTCTTTTACATTTGTCCAAGAAGAATAAGGAGAATTATTCTTTGAAAGTTGTCTAGCAAAATAGATTAGTGGAGGGTAAAGTTGAAACCTTAAATTATGTATGATAATGTATTAATAATGATGAAGGTATTTTGGTAATTTTAAGGAAGTATTTGCACTTTTTTTTCTCAAAATTATAGGGGGGTTTTGTAAGGGTAAGAACAAAGGTGGTTTATGAAATTATTAAAAGATGACACCTTTTTATAATTATACTTAAAAATAATGCAAAAGTAATAATAAACCAATAAAAATTAATAAACAATCCTTTTTTCAAAAAAATAATAAAATCAACATTAAGATAAAAAAATAATACAAATTTAAGAAATTGGCCACTTTCATGCGCAACTTAGATATAAAACCCGTGAATCAGATGTGAAGTAAATTACTATATACGAAGTTATCTCCACTCTCTACATCATCTACCCCCCCCAAAAAAGTCACCATGTCTTCTCAATACGGTGTATGATGTGAAGTAGATTCCTATCTGACGATAAAAAAGCAGCATTGACGTGGGTGTCCCCCTCATTGAATCAAATCCCAATATCGATGTACATCTGACAGTAACGACTCCTGGTTGTACTTCTCGCTCGTGCAGTCGTGCACTGCGCTACTTAAACCCTAAAAATTTAGAATAATCGTTCCAGCTCCCTGGGCTCTGTTGTATTGTGTTCGAGTTCACATCAGCGCCCCACAACACCCAATAGCATATCCGAACCGTGTACTGGGAATATCTCCAGATGATTCAATGCACGCTGAGATATGCATGTGGAGCGCTGATGTGATCTCGTCGTGCTCTGGCCCTAACAACTCTGTTCCATCCACGCTACTCGAGACGGGCTAAGCTGAGCTCATGAGCCAAATCACTCTCTCGGTTCTGCAAAAGCTATTAGAACTAGACTACTTGGGTAGTTGGAGCTTGAGCCTAGCTTGGTCGGCGCTTCGAATTTCAGAGCCACGGCGCTGCCGAGTTTGGGAATTAAAAGGCATTATACAATGTTCATATCAGTGGCATTGCAAAATCGCGATTCATAGTCGTGGGTGATGGACAGAAGGAAGAAAGGAAAAAGAAGAATCTGAACTCTGAAGACGAATCATCGACTCCTATCTTACTAATCGACTTTCGACAAAATTGTAATCTGTTTGCACGCTGGATCATATGGCGTCTCCTCCTTCTCATCAGACTTGTGTTCCTCTCCCTTCCGGTGCAGGTACTTTACGTTTTTGTGTTCTTATATCTCGATTTGTCGATTATGTACTTCTTTTTGCTGTATGGCTTTTAATTATTGTATTTGTTTAGATGTTTTTTTGTTATTATTTTATGTTGAGATGGTCAATTCTTTCATTTTTAGCGCGAGTTTTGTTTTGTTCCTCTTCCTCGCCCCGGCCTTGACATGGCTTTTTCTAGAGCTCGGTTATCGGTATCATTCTTATTTTTCTTTTTTCTTTTTTGTTCTTGTTATTTTTAATGGATTTTATATTATAAGGCATTGTTGCTGATCGCTGCTTGCTGTTGTTATCATTTTCTTTTGTGATCGTCGTAAGGTTTTATATGCATATGCTTGTATTTGGTTACTATTCCTTTTAGTTTGAGCTTTTGGTTTATTTGTTATTTAATAACGAATCTGAACGCTGGGCTTGTAGCTTAATTTATTCGTCTGTTGTATTTCTGGCGGACGTGAGATCTGAGGTGATTTGGTTGCTCCTGGACCTTTTTTTCTCCTCTGGTGTTTAGTCAGGAACATTGTCATTGGTTATGGATTTTATCTGTTAGGTGCATCTGTTAGACAGTTTTGTATGCCCTTAGCTTCAATCATTTTGATGTACTTTTGTTATTTAGTGGAAATAAATAAAGTGCATGTTTGATTCATG